ACGCACATTCGTACACAGCATGCACACAAAAGAAAACTTAGCTTGCTGCTTAATAGCAGGCAAACGCAAACTGTATATGGATGTCAACACTCCTCAAAGCTGGAGTGCAACTCATACGACTTAAGGCAAAAATGTTTGAGGGCAAAATTTGCAGCACCGGCGGCTGTTTAATCCCCTCCCGATCCCCTGCAAAGTCTAATGACAGCTAATCAGATGCACATCCACAGTCTAATTAACCAATTAGCAGCTAATGGATTCACATACACTACACAAAATGCCACGGATTCATTACGAGACACCCATAGTTTTCACTTTACCCAAGACTTTTTGGGCCAAATGTGAAAGACAGAAGGCAGTTAACGCAAAATGCACAGATGCAGCAGCAAACCGAGGGAAATTAGGGGTGACAAGAGGAAAAAAAATAACATTTAAATCAATGGTGCACATTATGTTTAAAAAAATGCAAAAAAGAAAAGATGCAACATCACTATCGGTGCGCACACATTCACGCAGTAACCGAGCGTATTAACACATCTAATTTTAAAACTGCATTTGTATTTGAAGATCACAGAGAGCCCGTTTCGATGCCGAACACATTTTTTGGCTCCTTAATTAGCATCCAATGAAATTAAAGTTCTCAGCTGAAGAATGAACTTCATGTCACGGTTGTGATTCGGGTTTCACGATTTTTGTCTCCAGAGGAAAAAAAATGAGCTTTGCCCTAACGTCGTCCAGTATCGTTACAGATTGATCTTATTCTATTTTTTCCCCATCAACACAGTATTATTTACTCTGCAAAGAGCAAAACAAAACGTGACATGCCAGGGCTTGTCAGAGTGACTGATTAACAATCAATAAAAACCGAGCAATTAAGTCCAAAAAAAAGAAAAGCAAGAGAAGGAGAGAAATTACAACATTGCAGCACAGCAGGATTCTACATAAAGAAAAACCTGGCAAAAACAAGACAATTAAGGGATGTGTGAAAACCATCTGGCTGCTTCTGTTTAGCCACAATAGAAATAACTTTTTTATTTTTTTTAGAGCTTGCAGCTAATGGAGCAAGTACTCATTAAAATGTCTCACTTTCTGTTAAACTTAAAAAAAAGTTCCTGCTATTCCATCTTATAAGCACACTGCAGCGTGTATCTTCATAGGCCATTAATATTCTTATTAGCGGTTAGCTTACACTTGTCATGATTTATGAGCTTAATTCAGCAAAACCCTGGAACAAATGAAATTTCACAAGCACATTTAGTATCTTCAGAAAAAAGAAAACCATATCTAAAGCGTATACATCTATATTAAGAAAGTAGCTAATATTTGCTGTTGTTTACTTATGTACAGTTAGGAATGGGAGCTTGTACTTCTACCCTCTGGTGCCTTTTAGTATGTTTAAAAAACTGGCAAGTTTTTATGGGCTGTAAAGTCACATTTCTTTTACTTCATTAAATTCTTACTGCTCTCTCGTCAAGACTGTTTCCTGGCATTCGGCAACTGATTTCAGTAAGAAACTCTCTCAGAAAAGCCACTTTCTGCTACGTGTTCAGTAACGCTGGTACATTTAACAGCTCAAACAGTATAAACACACCAGGACTCTCAGAAAACAGCGAGAAGGAGAGTGAATAGTGGATGCACACTGATGATATGGACAAAAACAAAATCATTAATGCTAATGTTGCTCCGTGTGCAGAACAGCTATTGCTGACCAACATGGTACTTTACACAGTTACTAGCTCTTTATCCTGTGAAAGCCTACTAGGAGTAACCCTTTAAGCTCTTTTCTGCACCGAGTGGTTTCTGTCATGTCTCAGACCTGGATATGGAATAAAATGACTGGATGTGCAACAGAAGTTAGTGAGGGCTGTCTCTACCTGTGCAGCTACCTTTGGAAAAACCCCAAACCTATTCGAATGGTCGTCAAACAACGTCTTCATTGATTTAAAATGAGGTGTCAGTATAAAGGTGACCTCTGACCTTGAGCTTGAACCAGTTGGGTGTTAACTTGGGTGTCCACGCAGCCCACACACGACCCATCCAGCAGGGGTGGCACAGGAGGAATCGAGTACTGAACGGGCCAACCGCAGTAGTTTCGGGTTACGTCGACCTGACGTTTAGCTACACTTCCAGGGGGGTGAGCGCTACGACACAGCTACGGAGTAAATTACACACTCAAGCATAAATCCCCACGAAGTCTTGATGACATCCTTAGAGACCGTACAGCTTGTCACATATGTAATGCTATTGATGTGCATGTTAGACGATCATTTAAAAATCTGACTTTAGAAACTGTCTCTCGTCTGATCAGATATTTTATTGTCTGTTTGAACAAAAGTTCAAACACGTTGAATTTTAAAAACTTCAAACCTCGATCTTAATTCGTTCAATAGTTTATACAAGCTGAACTGGGCGGTCCCTGCCGTTTGCCCACCATCAGCTGGGATATTTGACCCTTACCTTTCACTCTGACCTTAGGTTAAGATGTCAGAGAACTATCTCTGTTACCTACCAGCCAAACAGACACCTTGTCTTTAACAAAGCCTAAACATAGGGGATAAAGAGCTGGCCTGGCTCCATCAGAAGCTCGCTAATTAACTTCCTGTGTCCCATTTGTTGCATCATTGAAAAAAAACAAACCCCAAAACAACAATAACAAGATTTTCCTAAAACGCAAAAGTAATTGGCTCGCAAACCAATTTGGGTGTTTTATTCATTCCCCCCCCCGAAATTAAATATATATGACTTGTCTTATTCCTTTTTTTTTTAAATAGTCAGCCTTAATGATCCATTATTCGTTGGACTCAGCTAACAAATGGCCGAGGAACACCGGCACCATGAGCGCAACTCTTATTATTTAAGTCTCAATGTGAAAGGATGTTAATTAAAAATATGTCCCGCAAGAATAACTTTAAAAAAATTCAAGGCTGGAAAAAGTGCAATTCGACTCAAATTTATCTCGAGTGTAAAGAAATGGAGGTGTGAGGCGTGTGTCCGCACGCACGCATGCTGTAACACACCCACGCATGCACGCGACTCACAAGTTCACAGATTGACTGCGCTCAGCAAGAAGTGCTTCACGGATGGCAGTTTTCCTTTCTTTTTCCGCATGACAGACTTATCAACCGAGCTCAGGTGGTGCCCCATCTGCTTGTGCACATTTAAAATACACACACACACACACACTTGCTTACTGCTTACACAACGAGACGCATGCTCAAGGAATAAACTCAATCAAATGTCTGCCCTTCAAATTTCATTTCTGATCCCCTTCTCTCCCCCTCTGTGACCTCTCCTCCTGTTCTTCCTTATCACTGGTTCGCCTACACGCGAGTGATACCGAACAACCTCAAACTCTCCTTCGAGTCTTCATCGTTTTATCTTTCTTGCCGTCTTCTCGTCTGCGGTGAAATCCCAGCGACGACGTGCCCCGCTGCGCAGAACCCACCTTGCCCAGCGGAGCAGATGGTTGAGCAACAGAAGCGAGGCAGGCGAACAAGCGCGTTTGGCATCACGTGCACGCTTAAGCATCGTAAAATATGTTAAAATGATGCAAAAAGCATTTGCTAACCCAAACAAGAAAAGGTGCATTCAGTGCATTAGAACGCAGGCTTCTCGGCAGTGACGCCCTGATTAAATGCATGCCTCAGACAGTCAGTCATAATAAGTGTTTTAGCTTCACGGGAGTTCAAAACTTGATCGGAAAAACTTACATATATTTCTCATTCATTGAGCCATTGGGGTATAATGCATCATGAATGTATTCATCCCGGCAGCATTTATGCATTTATATAATTCTGTTGTACAGAGCCACAAGCAACTGGGAATCAATACACACTTCAGCCTGCATAATGGGGGATGTAGAAGGCATAAGATATGCACATACCAAACACTATAAAATGCGCCTTGACAGAAAATGCTTCAAGAAAGTGCCGAGAACAAAGAGAAACTAGCGGCTCGAGGATGAGTAATGAGATGAAGGTGAGCATATGTAACGCCACAAATGTCTTCTCTCAAGAAACAGATAATTCTTCCCGTGCTGCTGGATTAAAGATGCAAAAGGATAAGCTATTGACCTAAGGCTGACCTCCCCGTGTTTTCAAAAACTCCACGGCCGGAGAGCAGAGTCGGCTCGGTAAACTGACCTGCATAAAGTCCCATTTGTTAGGCAATTATCTTTATTCAACCAGGCAGAAATGACTTGTGCTGAACGGTAAGGTGTGCTGGTGCGAAACTCATAATGCCACGCAGACGCTATAATTAGGTAAAGCTTTACAGGGTGAAGAACGGGATCCTGGCCGACCTACGGGGAAAAAGAAATCTGACGGCCAAAAGCAATTTGCAGGCGCCCTCCAATTTTCTGGAATTATCCTTTGATTTTAACGATGTAAACAAACACTGTCTTCAAATGACTTGGACTTGGGTTGCAGTAGAAGAGCAAATGATCGGCCAGTTCCAAGAATCTCAAAGCAAGAAATCCTACTGTGCCTAGCTGCTGTTAAGAAAGTTGTTTATGTGCTAGGTTTGCTTTAATAAAAGTTTATAGCATCTTGCACAATCCTTGGAAAGCCACTACAGCTGGCCGTGTTTAACTTTTCAAGGTTACCTCAATCAGACTCGATGCAGAAGCCGTTTGAGCGACTTCTGAAAGTAAAACGTGTCGTGACTTTTGGATACGTGACCCGTTGCCCACATGTACGTTCGAGCGTTTACTGTAGCTGTGTGCAAAACATTACCGAGTTCTAAATCACCGCCTTTGAGTTGTGGGCTAAAAAAAAAAATCAATCTAGTGCACTGGCGAGCCCGCGTCTCGTGTGGAGCCCTGACCTCTCGGTCACCTTGCTGCAGTAAAATATGAATCGAGGATATGTGTGAGCGTGTGGGCGCCCAGATGCCGACAGCGCCGACTGGTCAGTTATGTGGGAGGCAGATCACGTGACCGCTACCGAGGCCAGGGCACAAATGATGGACGTCAGTTTATCTGTGCTTTATGTGTGCGCACGTACCGGCAGAAAGTCTGGGGCGGGTCCTCGGCGTCTGCATCTCTTGCCGTGCGTGAGGCAGCATGTGGTAACGCTTGGCTTCGTTCACCAGATCGCGACACGCCTCTGAAGATTTGATCAGCTCCTCGTTGTCCACTACGTTCAGCAGATAGGACGGGTGGATGAAGGGAAGACGCACCACCGCTAACAGCTCTGACAAATGCTGATAAGAGAGACATAAAGGGAGGGAAAGGAACAGAGAGTCATTACTTGTTCCAGGTTGCAGTTAGTGAGTGCTGCTTAAATAACCTGAAAGAGATCTAAATAAAGAAACAGAGTGGGTTGTCCACCAATTAGAAGGACGGCGGTTTGATCTCAGTCTCCTCGATGACTGCGTTTGAAAATATCCTTAAGCAAGAGTTTCCCTGATAGATCCATCAGAGTGTGAGTGTGTGAATGTTCTTTTAGGTTCTTTTTCACCTCATTTTTTTTGGTTTGTTGGGTTCTTTAAAAATTTTCAAATTGCCTGTAAGTTGTGTTATTGTTAATAAAGTTCCAATTTACCGAACACTAACAGTGTTTGAATTCATTTTAGTTGAAGTGATCAAAGAACAGTGTTCTTGCTGTATAGCCAACATTTGTGTTTCTTGCTGGGAAAAGAAATGTTTGATAAAAGCCGGGACCGTTAGCGTGAGGAAACCTGGCAGTAGCGAGACCATTAGCTCTGTTACCGTCAGTGTCAAAACTTGAAAGATGTAGTGAAACCCTGCACGCATTTTCTAAAATTTCTACACTCATATCGGACAAAAATGCTAAAACGTGTAGAGAAAAATGAGAAAATGCCTAATCGAGTCGTCACAGATTGAAGTGACTGAATTTCCCCAGTAGTTTTCCAAAAAAGCAAATAAAAGGAACTCTGGAGACTTGTTTTGAACTGAAAGTTTACAGTAAGATCCGAGCCTCATCTCACTTTGGTACGTGCATTCGGCTACGATGACACAGCTGACACTGTCGGCGGGGGGCGGTGGTGGGGTGGGAATCTCCCACCACCCCCATCTCCAAATAAAATCTTTCATGAGACAGCTAATGCTCTTTTGCAGCTAAATCAAGACCCAGTTCTGGCTAATCACAGCCCATTCAAGCCAAGATGCTGCAGTGCCACCAGCAAGATTTTTTTTTTCTTTTCTGTAACATAAAACTGGCACCATCAATTTCCCGCGGTGCCGAGCTGGTTAATTGGGGGGGGAGGGAATCATTTTAGTATAGCAACTTTAGCATATTTGTGTTTGTTTCATCTCTGGGCGTGCATGCATTTATGCTTATACTGTATAGGTGCTCAGCTCAGAGGTAGGACAGGCTGTTGCTATAGCAACCTTGTCTATAGCTCTGGCTGCTGAGTGAATTTTTTTTTTTTGCCTCCCCTCCAGTCTGTGTGTACATGTGTCCCCCCTCACACCTCACCGCCGACCCCACGGGAGCCTCGTCTACGCTGACAGTAAAAAGCTGTAAACAAGCACGGACGGAGCGGCAGAGAGTTGGGTGGAGGCTGACCCCATTGACCCTTTGGCTCAGAGCGGCGCAGACGAGCCACGCGGGGAGGGCGACAGAACAACGGGCCGAGAGAAGCATCATTCAGCCGAGTATAAATAATAAGCAGACACTGCTTAAGCATATCTCCCTTTCTCTCTCTCCCCTCCACCTGAGGCCTTTTAAGTCTGGCATGTGTCCCATCTGCTCTCCAGCGATGTCCTGAGCTCATCTGACCAGAAAGAAGTAAATAAGATGTCAGACTGCGGGACAAAAAGACGGAGAGACAAGCGCGAGAGGAAGTAGATAGGGCATGGGAAGTGGGGGGTGGGAAGACAAGTGATGACACAACGGGAGGAGGCACGGCAGAAAAGGATAAAAGTACGTCGAACGATCTGAAGAAAGACAAGGTGGGAGAGACGAAGTGATGGTTTTATGGCAGCCAGAGAAATCTGCTGATGACATTTCCTCTCTGTGAGCACGCTCGGAGCAAAACGCTGTCCTGCGTTTGGGACTGTCTGTTTCCCTCATCTATGAATTTCCACAGTGCAGTTTATCAAACAAACAGCTCAGTTCCTACATAAACACTTGCAATCGCTCCGAGCACCTCAGCTCAAACACAGAGAAGGTGAAGTCAGAGCAAGCTCCTTAGCATTCTGCAATATTCTTAAGGGAAGACTTCTTTACTCAAGAGAAGCTACTACTTCCAATTAAAGTGCCCCCATAGTGGGAGATTTGCCCCAGTAGTTACTGAGTCATGTCACACTCAAATGGAGGACTTAAGCTTCAGGCTTACTGCTATGGACTTCCATTACAAGGTACTTTACTCCAAGTCTGCTTCAACCTACACCTCTTCGGACATCCTATCAAGTTATTAATACCTGTAATCGGCTGTGGCGAAATGTTAAAAGGCCATATTTAATAGTAATTTTTCATTAAGATAAATATCTTTAAAAACACAACAGTCTGAGGAAGGAAATATTGAATTTTGTTGTGTTTAAAATTCATGTGGCTCGTGAAATCTCGCACAGAAATCTGCAGGTTATCAGAAATAGGTCCTCTACGGACTCTTCTGGCCCTCAGAACTAAATTAAAGCTGTATATGGGGCAGTTTCAGCCAGGTGGTGCCCTTAAGGGCACTACAGAAATAAATGTGCTCGATTGCCTGTGCGCACATCTGGAAGCCTTGCTCTTATTTGGAACGGCAGGTGGACTGGCTCGCAGTCCGACATCACACAGCTCAGTTGAGCTGGAAACTCTAAAAATGCCTGCGACCTGTTGGGAAGGTTACTTTTGACATATAACAGCCATTTAATTAACACATCAAAGCAAGCACCTAATTAAAACTTCCTAAAAATAAAAAATAAAAAAATTTAAATTGAGTCATAATGAAGCGAAGACCTCAGGGTCTAGATAGTTCTTCACATCTAATATCCAGCATTTTGATGGTGACGGCTGATAAACAAGCTTTACTTTTTACTGTAATATTAGAACCGCTTTCAAATTTTATGAGGGAAATATTTGTAAATTTCCAGCGCTGAAGGCGATCTTGTCTGGGGAAATGGCCACCCGTCTCAGCCTGCAACGATCTGATTGGCAGATAAACTGTTCTTAACCTTTTAGTGTATACAGAACCACTCCCATTTTAGTGCTCAGTCTCTCTCTCTCTCACACACACACACAACCTTTCTTTTACTCACGTCTCCTTAAACAAACATGAAAAAAAAGAGCAAAACCATCCTACTGTACCATCTGCAAATCATAGCTACCTATAAAGCCACATCTGTTGTAGCCTCTCTTCCCTTGCCAAATATCTTTTAATGACAGTGAAACTACCTCAAAGAGAGCATCTGGTCTCTGCAAAAAAGGTTAGGACAGACACTGTTTCCACATACAGGTAAAAATCTGCCTGAAAACAAGCTCGCACATGTGCACAGACACACACGTGCGCGTGTAAATACAGCCGGAGACAGATGGGTGCATTCAGGAGTGGATCCACTATGACCGCGCTGATTTCATCCTGTGCTGTTTGTGGTCAAAGTTGCTGGATTCTGTTCGGAGTGTTCTGTCCAAAAGTTGACTGGCTGGTAAATCTTGTTAAGGAGATTAAGACAACGTATAGTCTCTGAGGCTGAACTCTGATTAAATAAACCAGCCGCTGACTCGATTGCACTGTAAACAGTGTGGGATATCCCCTATGTATGTGTGTGTGTGGGAAAGAGTGCCTAGCAGCTTTTCTCTACCTTAATTCAGCTCCCTTTCCGCCATCCCTCTCCCTCTGTCCGTCTATTTCTAAAAAAGAATTACTCTCCATCTCTAATTCTAACTAACTCCCTATCTCTCCCACTTCTTCTTCACTTTCTGCCTCTCTCTCTCTCCACCTCCATTCCCCGCTCGTCGCTCTTCCTCCCACACATGCATATATCGGCATGGAAATGAAGTAGAGTTGCACACTTGGTGCTAATATTCAAATCCAAAGTGTCAGACCCCATGAAAAAAAAGAAGAAAAAAGTCGTGCTTCATGCCAGCTATTGAAACTAGTCAAGCAGAAATTATTGCAGATACTGTTTACTCAGGCTGCTGTTTGTCTTCCAAAACAAATGAGCTTCACATTTATGGTTTTGAAAGGAATTTCTCAACAACAGCTTGATGGATTACTATGAAACAGAGATTTTTCTTTGCCTGCGTATGAATTAATCTGCCCCAGCATCATGCCCCCCCCCCCAAAAAAAATGAACCGATACCAGCTTGGTGATCAAATTACCTGCAAAAGCAAACAAAAACTAGCTACAGTCCAGTCAGTCTCAGTCATATGTTTGCTTAATGCTTACTAGCAAACGTTAATAACAGTAAAACCACTATCCCTGTTTAACATGAACATTTCAGCATTATGAACACATGAACGCATGCTGAATGAAAAAGGGGAACATGGGAGACTGTGTATAAAAAATGCCTGTAATTTCTAAACAGGTGATGCAAAATTCTTTACATTTTTTTGTGAATTAAAACTGACAGTCTGCACTTCGCTTACATGCTGACTTCCTGATTTAAAATCAGCTGTGGCTGTGCACAGAGGTAAAACTACAAAAGTTCAACAAATTATGGACCTACTGTGGATTCAGCAAATACAGGTAAACTGTGGGGTTTAAATGAACCAAACCCTGACCAGTGTTGGGAAGGTTACTTTTAAAATGTATTCTGCTCTTAATGTGTGTTTTGTTTGGGTTTCCACTGGTGTGGAATTACCAAAAATAGAGACAGCCTAACATATGAAACAGGAAAAGACCGCCCTGTAATCCATTTACTTCAACAAAGTAACTGTATTCTGAATACCACCTTTTTAAACGCCGGTACATGTATTCCATTACTCCCCAACTCGACCCAAACGTCTCAATAAGAAGCAACATTTTTTCAATCTTTTGTCGTCCAATTTTAGTGAGCCTATCTTAGCGGACACGGCGGTACCTGGTGTGGTCTTCTGCTGCTGTAGCCCATGTGCTTCGAGGCTTGACATGTTGTGTGTTCAGAGATGCTCTTCTGCACACCTTGTCAGGGTTGTGGGGGATAATCCCAGCACGTCAACCTTCAAAGTCACTTAAACCAGCTTTCCGATTCTCAATTTGCACTAACAAGCAGCTAACAAAGTTCCGAAGCCTCCACTTCAGCATCACGTCCCTCCCATCTCATCTCTTTTGA